GTCATGGACAGCTAGAGCCTCCCACATAAGCCTCTACTACACCAGGCAAAAGACAGACTGAAAGCACTAACATGCATAGCACCAAATCCTCCTCCAGTGAGATTTGTAACTCTTCATCCTTTGATTTAAGGAACAATGTCTGTTCCCCTAAGGATTCAAATGAGTAAATCACAAAAGAGCTACTAATGAAACTACCTGTAAGCAGTGGTGCTAAAGTTTTATGGAACAGTAAGTTTTGAAATATTTCTAAACTGGGACAATCCAGTGACATAGATTTTATGAAAGTTAACAGCCTTCTTCCCTAGACCTGTGGAAAAAAAGTTTAACTGTGATGGGGTGTCCACACCACATGAACCCTGAGCATGGTAATGTGTGCCAGAAAGGGCCAATTAACCTTATATGCTGCAGGGGAACTAGACACTGATAAGGTCTAATGGCAGATGAAGCCCAGCTGAGGGAAGGAGCAGGGATAGGAGGGTACGGCCAGGAAGTGAGAGAAGGAGGGGGTGGCAGGATGACTTCTGCAGTCACTCACTAGAGAAAAAGAGAGTTGGCCAAGGTCAAGGAGTAAATCCAGAGACAGGATAAGCCTTGGATCCTGCCCTGGACTAGGGAATTTGACAAGTGGTTAAGAAGGTGAAGTAGCCACAGAGAGAGGCAGAAGCTCCAGTGGTAAACCCATAGATATGCAAAGAGATGAAGAGGTGGAGCAGGAAAGAGCCCAGGGAAACAGCAACAGGGTCTGAGAATTAGCAGACCTAGGTTGCTAGTTACAGGGTCCCTGGGCTAGACCACAGTAGCAGATGGGCCCAGGTTCCCCTACCAGCCACTGCAAAAGTGGCAAACAAACTGGAGTTGAAACAGAAGATTGCCTGAAACAGCACAAGGACAGCTTGTCCGGTGGGATTTTGTTACCTCAGAACTGGAGGACTATACAGTGACTTGGCCAAAGGGACGAGTCATGAAGAAGGAGCACCCTGAGTCCCGGAGAGAGAGGCCACAGCACAAGCAACCAATAGAAAGGGGTGTGAAATGGGCGCAAGGGCTAATTCCCAAACCCAGCCATAAGGAGGTGCACCTGCAGTGAGTGGAACCCTGTTACACCATCTGAAAATTTTAAAACCGATCTTTGGGGGGAGCCTATAATTCAGGAACTCCATTACCAAATGACACTAAAATTGCACCCTAAAGTATACTTGTGCCCCTGTTATTGCACAGTAACATTTAGGACAATCTCACTGTGCACATGGATCTTAGAACACTCCGAAAAATTACCTCAACATTGAGCATAGCTTTCTGCTCGATCATGACAGTGCATTTCCATTATTAAGAAAAAGAATGACCAAGACTGAAGGCCAGGCTAGGATTTACTGACAGTACAGAACAATGGAAGCTCTACCCACAAAATAAAATCAATCACAGCATATCCCCCCTCCCACTAAGTAACAGTAGCCCCTCCTACTGAACCAAGAAACAAGAACCAAACAAACCAAAGCCCATTCCTCACCAATGAATCAGTGGCGCTCGTCTGCATTTCTTGGTAACGAAGTACTGTAGGAAGCCATCCTGGATGTAGCCAAGAGCAGCGGTGGAGCATTTACTGACAATACTGCTGTCGTTAGTGCCCTGAATCTGAACAGGGAACAAGGAGAAGGACTGCTCACTCACATTCTGTCTGCTGATGCCTACCTAGGAGTAGCCATAAGGAAACAGCTGGATCTAAACAGGGTAGCGCAGGCCCTTTCCTCCTTTAGAAACCAAGTTAATCCATCCCTTGGAGACTCACAGGCCCAGTGAGTTTCCTCAGTGTCCAAGTGAAACATGTTGCCCGGCAGCAGGGCTAGGGCACTGACAGACTACACACTTCTGCTGTACCCATAGATACACTATCCCCATCCACCACACCAGTCATGGGGACTCATCAACAGCATATGTGAGATCAGGAGACTAGAGCATCAGTGGCCCAATATGCAGTCCAAAACTGATGCATGAATTCTTTGTGCCGCAGTGTAACCCTATGCCATAGGCATCAGAGGCAGAGAGAGTTCCTCTCTTCTTCTGTAAAGACTGCAAAGCTGTACTAGAAAGGGAGTCAGGACCTTGTTCAGGATCCTGCATCTACCGCTCTTGCCCCACCCCATGATGGCAGAACACTCCCATCATCACTGAAGTTACACTAGGAAAATATGTAATATTTATAATGTGATTGAGCAGCTAAGGAGAAGCCAGCCTCCTCTCTGCAGAGGCCTCTACCCCAGAACCCCAGGCAGCACAAAGTGCCTCAATAGGCCCCACCTCATCCCCACTGCTTCCTCCTGACTGTTGCCACAGGCCAATGGTTCTCAACCAGGGGTACGTGTACCCCTGGGGATACACAGAGGTCTTCCAGGGGGTATATTAACTCATCTAGATAGTTGCCTAATTTTACAACAGGCTACATAAAAAGCACTAGCAAACTCAGTACAAACTACAATTTCATACAATGACTTGTTTATACTGCTCTATATACCATACACTGAAATGTAACTGCAATGTGAAGACCTCTGGGCTTGGACTAAAGCTGGAACTCTGGTACCCTCCCACCCTGCAGAGTCCTAGAGCCCAGGCTCAATCAATGAAACAGAAAGACCTCAGGGCCCCACCTCTCTGTGCCAGGGGCATCACAAGAGTGAGCAAGAGGCACAGAGTCTCACAGGCACACCCAGCCCTGCCTCCAATCCAGATGGGGGCAAGTAGGCTCAGCCCAGCAGTATCAAAGTGTGGAGGGGCTTAGTGTGAGGTCCATGTGGGGGGAGGATCTGGATACACAGGGGCTTGTTGGGGAGTTCTGGGTGCAGGGGGAATGAGACTGCGGGTTCCAGGTGAAGATGGTTGGGGCTCAGCACGGGGGGGTCCAGATGCATGGAGGGGGGCAGCTCCGCCTACAGTGACTCCTCCCCTGCGGCTGGGGAGCAATGAGGGCAGGAAGCAGGGGGTGTATGGAGCTTCCTGCAGCCAGGGGAGATTTCTGGGAGCAGCTCTGACCTGGCCCCAGGAGCAGCCCATGCAAGGGAAGAAGTAGTCCTGTCCTTCCCCAGCCAGGACTAGCAGCTGGACCTGCTCGGGCATCCCCAGCCCTGCCCCTCCTCAGCTCCAGGCGCACTGCAATAGCAAGCGCTTCCATGCTCAGCCCTGCTGTGATTTACATCTCTGCCAGCTGCTCCAGGTACCAAAACCAAGATGCCCATGTTGCCCGGGAGGGGCATCTTACCACTCTTGTGGCTTCTCTTTGCTTCCTGTCAGAAGTCTTTCTTCTGTGGAGAAGCAAAGAAATCTGCCAGGGACATGAATTCTGCACGAGTAGTGGTGCAAAATTTCCTCAGAAGTAAGTCATGCTGCACATGCACATTTCACTCTCTTTGGAGCAACAGTTTACTTCCAAGCTGAGACAGCGTTCTTAACTTAACCCTCAATATCTGAAATACTGCTTTCCACACTAGCAATGGGTGCTATACCCTAGCTCACCATTTCTCAAATGCGGCCACCAGGAGATTTTCTTGCACCCACAGCCTCCTGGGCAGTGACTGGAGGAGGCAGGGCAAAGCAGTGGATCCTCCCCCAGGGCCACCTCCCCACCTGGAGTCACAAATGCCAGAGAAGCAAGCAGCCAGTGAGTTCCCCACCTTCCTGGGGATGGTGAAGCTTGGGCTTCGGGCTTCAGCCCTGGGGTGGCAAGCAGCAGGCTCCGGTCGTGGAACTTCAGGTTCTGGCCCTGAGCTCACCACACACACACTCCTCATCGCCCCTGACCCCCACTGTCTCTCCCGGCCCTGGGACTCTGGCCTCCAGCAGTGGGACTCTGGCCTCAGGGCCCTGGCCACACAGGAGCTGGCTCTGCCCGCCCCCCCCCACCCACACACACACACATCACCCCTGGCCTCCACTGCCACCCCAGGCTCCCATCCAGCCTCCCATTACCCCTGGACCCCGCTGTCTCCATGCTCACTTCCCCATCCAGGGTTTAATTTGTCCCCTGGGTTGCAAGGCTGAGTAAGTCTGCTGTGAAAATTTATATTTATATATTTGTTGATATCACTCTGCTGTGAAACTTACTAGCTAGCAAGTCTTTTTAAAAAAGCAACCAAAAAGCAAAAGAAACAACAAAAGATAAGAATATGCAAAATATTGTGTATCTATTTTCTTTAGGTCCAGTAAAGAATAGACACAATTGTACATTATTTTTATTATCCAGTCTGCAAAAAAACTCTTCATGAATAAATTAGAATATTTTGCCACATATATGCATATTTAAGTCCATTAATGGCTATTAGCCAGGACGGGTAAGGAATGGTGTCCCTAGACTCTGTCTGTCAGAGGGTGGAGATGGATGGCAGAAGAAAGATCACTTGATCATTACCTGTTAGGTTCACTCCCTCTGGGGCACCTGGCATTGGCCACTGTCTGTAGACAGGATACTGGGCTAGATGGACCTTTGGTCTGACCCAGTACGGCCGTTCTTATGTTATTTGTTTTTCCTAAAGTTAATTAAGAATTTTAGGGGAACCTGTCAGAGCGGCCACCGGCAAGAGTTGGTGGCCTCACTGGGCGACGCGCTGCACGAAGGGACCCCGGAAGGGGGGAGACAGTCGCGCCCCACGTGGGCACAGCGGAGCCAGGTGACTTGTCATGAAATGCTGCGGGCGGATCCCTCCGCCGGGAGCCGCCATCCCGCCACACCCCCGCGAGGCGGAGCTCGGGGCAGTTCCCGGCCGCGCGGGGACACGGGGCGGGCAGGGAGGTGATGTGCTCGCGGCACCGACCCGCCCTGGGGCCCGGGCTGCCCGAACCGCGCCGGCGCTAACCCCGCAGCGCCCCCGGGACGGGTCTCCTGCCAGGCGGGCCAAGGCCGCGCGATCCCGGCGCTCACTCACCGCCTCGTCCCGCGCCGCGCGCCGCCCCCTCCCGCTCCGGCCCATCCCACCGCTGCCGAGCAACCGGCGCCCTCACTCGAGCAGTGAGAAAACTCCTGGTGTGCAGAGTGGCCCGCCTGAGACCATAGAGAGCGGCTTCCGGCGGCGCCCAGGAGACACCCGCCCAGGGTGATAGAGCGCAGCCTCCGGGGCGGATAGAGCGGTCCGCCACAGTGAGACTATTGGTCAGCCGCTATGGTCGCGGATGGAGGAAAGGGCGGGGCTAAAGGCTGATCGAAGAAAGGGGCGGGGGGGAAATCGGTATTTCCCTCCTCCCCCCCTCCCCCATCGCATTAGCTGAGTCCGGCGGGGGTCCGGTCCCGCGCCCAAACCGGGCTCCTCTGCCGCGCTGGGGCTCCAAGCGCCCGGAGCGGGGGTGGGGCTGCGCACTTTGACTCCCCAGCGCATCATGGGCCAAAAAACTAAACCTGCTGGGCAGAGTCTTGTAAAACTTTGCACAATTCCACGGGTTTTATTTGTCAAATCAATGTAGCGGCTGCAGCATCGCATTGGGGAGCACAGGCCAGTGGCCATCACAGTGCAGCTCCCCCCAGTATCCTGTCTGCCGACAGTGGCCAACACCAGGTGTCCCACAGGGAGTGAACCCAACAGGCAATGATCAAGTGATCTCTCTCCTGCCATCCATCCCCACCCTCTGACAGACAGAGGCTAGGGACACCATTCCTTACCCGTCCTGGCTAATAGCCATTAATGGACTTAACCTCCATGGATTTATCCAGTTCTCTTTTAAACCCTGTGATAGGCCTAGCCTTCACAACCTCCTCAGGCAAGGAGTTCCACAAGTTGACTGTACGCTTTGTGAAGAACTTCCTTTTATTTGTTTTAAACCTCCTGACCATTAATTTCATTTGGTGGCCCCTAGTTCTTGTATTATGGGAACGAGTAAATAACTTTTCCTTATTCACTTTCTCCACATCACTCATGATTTTATATACCTCTATCATATCTCCCCTTAGTCTCCTCTTTTCCAAGCTGAAAAGTCCTAGCCTCTTTAATCTCCTCCTATGGGACCTGTTCCAAACCCCTAATCATTTTAGTTGCCCTTCTCTGAACCTTTTCTAATACCAGTATAGCTTTTTTGAGATGAGGAGACCACATCTGTATGCAGTATTCAAGATGTGAGCGTACCATGGATTTATTTAAGATTCTCCGTCTTATTCTCGATCCCTTTTTTAATGATTCGTAACATCCTGTTTGCTTTTATGACAGCCGCTGCACACTGCGTGGATGTCTTCAGAGAACTATCCACAATGACTCCAAGATCTCTTTCCTGATTAGTTGTAGCTAAATTGGCCCCCATCATATTATATGTATAGTTGGGGTTATTTTTTCCAATGTGTATTACTTTACATTTATCCACATTAAATTTCATTGGGCAACAAAATGGCAAATCACTTAGTTTTGTGAGATCTTTTTGAAGTTCTTCACAGTCTGCTTTGGTCTTAACTATCTTGAGCAGTTTAGTATCGGCTGCAAACTTTGCCACCTCACTGTTTACCCCTTTCTCCAGCTTGTTCATAAATAAGTTGAATAGGATTGGTCCTAGGAATGACCCTTGGGGAACACCACTAGTTACCCCTCTCCATTCTGAAAATTTACCATTTATTCCTACCCTTTGTTCCCTGTCTTTTAACCAGTTCTCAGTCCCATGACAACTTAATTTACGTAAGAGCCTTCTGTTACCTCAAGGGGAATAAGGCAACGCTTCAAAGGAAAACTTTAGAAATGGTAGGGGAGAAATAGGAAAGGAAAGCCCCTTTTCTTAGAAGATACAAACTCGACTCCCTCCTGTATCTATCACCAGTGGATTTAGCCTCCCTCCTTGTGTGGTGTAAATAAAATAAAGAGGAGACAAGTTGATTTGGTACAAACAAAGGTAAGTGTATTCAGGGTAAAGATACAGAAAACTGGGAGAAATAGGGGAAAATGCAAACTTAATTAATACAACGAAACAGTGACTGGCTTTGGGAGCTTAAAGCTCAGGCCCATGAACCCTCCCTTGGAAACTGGAAAACAATAAATGATGTCCCAAAACAGAAACCTTTCCTACTGTTCAGGTGCAGTGGATACCACGTACAGGTGTGATGCCCAGGACCTTCCACTCTCTGGCTGATTTAGAGCCTTCGAGGAGGAGCACTGGGGAGTCCAGACGACTGTTGGATTTCGTCGCTGGCAAGGAGACCCTCTGGGATGATGGACACTAGGAATGCAGGACCCTCCACTGGTAAGATGGTAAGGTGTGGCAGGAATGGTGATGACAGGCCTCCTTTTCCTTAACCTCACTGTGGGACAGATTGTATTCTTCACTCTTCAGCTCTGGAGCACTGTGAAGACCCGACTGTGTACGTGCTGTCGCTGGGGTGGACAACCCTGCGCAGGTGCTGAACAAGTCCTTATAAAGCTTTTGTGGTGGGAAAAGTTCTGAGGAGATGGAATGCTGAGGGCTGGTTTTGGCGGGAAAAACTGGTTTGAGCCGGTGTCTTAACGGTAAACAAGTCCGCTCTCAGAGATGGAGTCCAAGGGTCAATAGTTCATATGCTCCATATTGGATTTTATTTTAAAGCCAGTGATTTACTTAACATTACTTTATAAACGCCTTATTAAACAACTAATTGAACATATTAAACAGTTTATACTTCTTATACCTAACACTTCGGTGAGGGACCTTGTCAAAGGCTTTCTGGAAATCTAAGTACACTGTGTCCACTGGATCCCCCTTGTCCACATGTTTGTTTACCCCTTCAGAGAACTCTAATAGATTAGTAAGACATGATTTCCCTTTACAGAAACCATGTTGACTTTTGCCCAACAATTTATGTTCTTCTATGTGTCTGATAATTTTGTTCTCTACTATTGTTTCAACTAATTTGCCCGGTACTGATGTTAGACTTACTGGTCTGTAATTGCCGGGATCACCTCTAGAGCCCTTTTAAAATATTGGCATTACATTAGCTATCTTCTAGTCATTGGGTACAGAAACTGATTTAAAGGACAGGTTACAAACCATAGTTAATAGTTCCGCAATTTCACATTTCAGTTCTTTCAGAACTCTTGGGTAAAAGCCATCTGGTCCCAGTGACTTGTTACTGTTCAGTTTATCAGTTAATTCAAAAACCACCTCTAGTGACAATTCAATCTGTGACAATTCCTCAGATTTGTCACCTACAAAAGATGGCTCAGGTTTGGGAATCTCCCTAACCTCCTCAGCTGTGAAGACTGAAGCAAAGAATTCATTTACTTTCTCCGCAATGACTTTATCGTCTTTAAGTGTTCCTTTTGTATCTCGTAAAAAGCAACAGAGGGTCCAGTGGCACCTTTAAGACTAACAGAAGTATTGGAGCATAAGCTTTCGTGGGTGAATGCCCACTTCATCAGACGCAAGTAATGGAAATTTCCAGAGGCAGGTATAAATCAGTATGGAGATAACGAGGTTAGTTCAACGAGGGAGGGTGAGGTGCTCTGCTAGCAGTTGAGGTGTGAACACCAAGGGAGGAGAAAGTCACAGAGCTCAGCAACAAGTTGTATCTTGATCGTCCAGGGACCCCACTGGTTGTTTAGCAGCCTTCCTACTTCTGATGCACATAAAAAACATTTTGTTATTACCTTTTGAGTTTTTGGCTAGCTATTCTTCAAGCTCCTTTTTGGCTTTTCTTATTAAATTTTTACACTTAATTTGGCAGTGCTCCTTTCTATTTACCTCACTAGGATTTGCCTTCCACTTCTTAAAAGATGCCTTTTTATCTCTCACTGCTTCTTTTCCATGGTTGTTAAGCCACGGTGGCTCCTTTTTAGTTCTTTTACTGTGTTTTTTAATTTGGGGTATACATTTAAGTTGGGCCTCTATTATGGTGTCTTTGAAAAGTGTCCATGCAGCTTGCCGGGATTTCACTTTAGTCACTGTACCTTTTAATTTCAGTTTAACTAACCTCCTCATTTTTGCATAGTTCCCATTTCTGAAAGTAAATGCCACAGTGTTGGACTGTTGAGGTGTTCTTCCCACCACAGGAATGTTAAATGTTGTTATATTATGGTCACTATTTCCAAGCAGTCCTGTTATAGTTACCTCTTGGATCAGATCCTGCGCTCCACTCAGGACTAAATCAAGAGTTGCTTCTCCCCTGGTGGGTTCCTGTACCAGCTGCTCCAAGAAGCAGTCATTTAAAGTATCGAGAAATTTTGTCTCAGCATCTTGTCCTGAGGTGACATGTACCCAGTCAATATGGGGATAATTGAAATCCCCCACTATTATTGAGTGCTTTATTTTGATAGCCTCTCTAATCTCCCTTAGCATTTCATCATCACTATCACTGTCCTGGTCAGGTGGTCGATAATAGATCCCTATGGTTATATTCTTATTAGAGCATGGAATTACTATCCATAGAGATTCTATGGAACATGTGGATTCATTTGAGATTTTTACTTCATTTGATTCTACATTTTCTTTCACATATAGTGCCACTCCTCCCTCCCCCCCACCACCCACGACCTGTTCTGTCCTTCCAATATATTTTGTACCCCGGAATGATTGTGTCCCATTGATTGTCCCCACTCCAACAGGTTTCTGTGATACCTATTATATCAATATCCTCCTTTATCACGAGGCACTCTAGTTCACCCATCTTATTATTTAGACTTCTAGCATTTGCATACAAGCACTTTAAAAACTTGTCGCTGTTTATTTGTCTGCCCTTTTCTGATGTGTCAGATTCTTTTTTATGTGAATGTTTATCATCTGATCTGGCCCCTACTTTATCCTCTTCCATCCTCTGCTCCTGACAATAACCTGGAGATTCTCTATCATTAGACTCTCCTCTAAGAGAAGTCTCTGTCCGATCCACGTGCTCCTCTGCAGCAGTCGGCTTTCCCCCATCTCCTAGTTTAAAAACTGCTCTACAACCTTTTTAATGTTTAGTGCCAGCAGTCTGGTTCCACTTTCTTTTAGGTGGAGCCCATCTCTACTGTATAGGCTCCCCCCATCCCAAAAGATTCCCCAGTTCCTAATGAATCTAAACCCCTCCTCTCTACACCATCGTCTCATTCACGTATTGAGACTCTGAAGCTCTGCCTGCCTACCTGGTCCTTCACATGGTGGAAGCATTTCTGAGAATGCTACCATAGAGGTCCTGGATTTCAGTCTCTTTCCTAGCAGCCTAAATTTGGCCCCCAGGACATCTCTCCTACCCTTCCCTATGTCACTGGTACCTACATGTACCACAACCACCGGCTCCTTCCCAGCACTACACAAGTCCATCTAGATGCCTCAAGAGATCTTCAACCTTTGCACCAGGCAGGCAGGTCACCATACGGTTTTCCCGGTCATCAAAAACCCAGCTATCTATAAAAAGAACAGGAGTACTTGTGGCACCTTAGAGACTAACAAATTTATTAGAGCATAAGCTTTCGTGGACTACAGCCCACTTCTTCGGATGCATATAGAGTGGAATAAATATTGAGGAGATATATATACACACATACAGAGAGCATGAACAGGTGGGAGTTGTCTTACCAACTCTGAGAGGCCAATCAAGTAAGAGAAAAAAATTTTTTGAAGTGATAATCAAGATAGCCCAGTACAGACAGTTTGATAAGAAGTGTGAGAATACTTACAAGGGGAGATAGATTCAATGTTCATTGAATGTTCATTGAATCTATCTCCCCTTGTAAGTATTCTCACACTTCTTATCAAACTGTCTGTACTGGGCTATCTTGATTATCACTTCAAAAGTTTTTTTTCTCTTACTTAATTGGCCTCTCAGAGTTGGTAAGACAACTCCCACCTGTTCATGCTCTCTGTATGTGTGTATATATATCTCCTCAATATTTATTCCACTCTATATGCATCCGAAGAAGTGGGCTGTAGTCCACGAAA